GCAAATATTTATAATAAAATCTAAAAAGTCTACACTTACATGAAGAAATGCCAGTAAAACCATATTTTAATTTTCACACACTATGAAATATCACATATACACATATATTTGAAAATGTTCAAATCCCCGGCTGAAAACCAAAACCAGGAGGTTTTGGTGGTGTTGTAAGCGTTGTTAAGCCATTGATTGGCTCTGCAGCTGTACGACCACTTCGTGGACCAGGCTTTGGTCGTTTACCTGCTTTAAATTCATCCAAAATGTCACTGATATCCTCCGGCGTTAAGTCTTCATAATAATCGTCATTGATCTAAACTCCAACTTATAAACGAATTTTTAGCATTCAAAATGAAATTTAATTCAAATACAATTCATATATAATTTGAAAAAGCAAGATGATAAGAAGTGTAGTTAGAGAATTATTTATAAAAAATTTAGATATAACAAACCATCACCTGAACCATAGGTGCATTAACACATGCACCCAAACACTCCACTTCAGCCAATGAGAATAAGCCATCTTTTGTTGTCTCACCAACTTTGATACCTGAAATAATCAATTCTCAGTCGCGCCATAAAAATACATCAAAAAAAAATTTATTTACTCCCATAAAGAAGTCCAACAAAGTCCAACAAAGCCAAATCAAATTACAGAATGATCACTATGGCCTTTTCCTTTTCCTTTTGGCTAAATCCCATAACAATGAAGAAAAAAATCAATGAAATCGCCAGTAACAGATAAATTTCTTAAGCAACAGATAAATTTATTTTGTGAGATAAAACAAACCAAGTTTTTTCGTAATAGCTTCCATAATTGATTCAGCACCTCGAAGCATACATGGAGTTGTTCCACAAACTTGCACAAAATTTTTTCCCATTGGTTTTCGATTGAACATTGAATAAAAAGTTGCCACTTCATACACTCGCATTCGTGCGATTCCTAAACAAAAATAAATCTATTGTTTCCTGTTAAAAAAAAAGTTTCATAAGCAAATAATCAAATTCTTAATTCAAGATGAAGGTAAAACTGACCTAAAATACGAGCAACTTCATGCATCGCTGAAATGGGTAACCAACCATGTTGCCGCTGTGCCAAATCTAACATAGGAATAAGAGCGCCACACTAAAAAACGAAATTATGTCATAAATTAATACGTTGCTCTGAAGAGAAATATTCATCGATTCACTGATGTTAAGAAATAGACAATAAAAATGTTCCATAACAGTCATTCAAACAAACATCAAACAATTCAAATTAGCATGAAAAGTATGTGTTCGTCATACTTCAATTTCAGAAATGTTTATTTTAAATTAAAAAACCATTTTTTCCTTTGAATTACCTGTAAGTACGGGGAAATGGAACACTGAGATCATGCAAAGGCGCAATGAAATGGCATTTGATATTTTAGAATGAAAATATATTAGCAGCATTTTATGCATCTAATAGTAATGCCTATTTTGCCATTAAATAAGAAATAATTTAATCTCTCATCAAGCCATAAACAAAAAATCACCTTATATTCTGGCGGATATTTTGAAATCATTACTTCTATACGTTTCATATTTTCTGGCGTGAATTTGAAAGGTGTATTGCTGTTGTTAATTTCGCTATCACGATGTACAACCATACCATCACCTGAAATAAATAACATTTGACAAACTGCAGCATATTATCAGTAACTGTCCAATTACGAAAAATTTAACAAACTATTATGACTGATGACTAATTCTAGGATTACTGACCGTACATTATTATTTCTTCAAAGATAACTTATAATGTTGTTTAAGTTCCTAATTTAATTCCCCAAATATTAATATAATTGGTACATATCTACTAAAATCCAATAAATTCTTGGACTTGCTTGGAACTTTTATAATACATTTTTTTGCACTATTGACCTTAAATCAAGAAGAGATGTAAGATCAACTAATATTCCCCGAAAATTTGCACTATATGTGGTAAAGTAAAATAAAAGACGTTAAAATAAAAGAGAACAAAAGATGTTAGAAGCTGAATAAATATGTAAGAATTTTTAGAAACTAACAAGAGTTTTCAAATTTTTTCAGAACCTTTTACTTCTCACCCCTCTCTTTCTCCCACTCTCTCTCAAAGAACAAAAGATTCTATAGAGAAATGCTTACTTGACCATCGTTTTGGTAACGAAACAATACATCTCATAAGACAACGTCTAGAAATCATTCCCAACAATTTCCTCGAAACGGCTGAAATAATTAAATTTCACATATTATAGTGATGTAGATGAAAACATTAACTACCAACCATCATGCCAAAAAGTAAAAATTCCTCTTCCCAATACACAGACCGCAATGAATGACAATGATTACTCTTAGTGTAAAAAATCTACATTAAATGATCTAATAAGTGGACGATGAAGTAAACATAATGTATGTCAATATTAAACATTCTTGAATAACTAAAGTAGACTAAGTTTAGCATAGAGTTGTATTATCATCAAAAAAATAACTGCACTTAAATAAAGAATAACATCGAACCGAATGAATAGTTTATTCCTTATCGTCTAGCTATATCTGAATAAAATATAACACAGTTAACTAGAGTAAGCTTAAAAATGAACAAATCCCAATGAGTCGGAAGATATTTTATAAAAAAAAAAGCTTATAAGAACTTCCGTTCCTGTAGGTTAAACCAATCTTAAAAACAAACTTTTAATTGCAAACATATCGTATATTATAAATGAATAAATTAAAACACAAACAAGGGAACTTTTTTTTAAGCATTGACAAAAAAACTACTTATGGATAATTAACTGTATTAATGAAATTGAACAAACGATTGTGCTTCCTTAATAGTTTATTATATTTTTGATGTTTATGCAAATGCATAAACTTTCTTATTTTATCCTTCATTTTACTTTTACTTTTTACCGTGCTGCAGCATCTTTCTCGTAGCTTTTACTTTATTTTAACTATAACTTTAGGATTTTCCTTATATCTCACTCACTGTTTACATGGTTATTTTTCCAGGAAGCACCTTTTCTTCTACATAACAAACAAATGCTAGCAAAAGCAATAACGACTGAATGAAAAAGAAAAAAGGACGAAGAAGTTAAAATATAGAATCAAACCGATCCTACATTTGAAACAGATCATTCATTCAAGCAATTTACTGAATATCAAATGGTAGGGGTGGAAGGGTAATTTTTATCAGTTGATGAAAAAAAAATTGGAAAAGAATATCTCGGAATACTGAGGACAAAAATTCACAGATGACGTAGAAAGAAATAATTTTCCTGATAAAAGAAAAAAAAAAGTGGCAAAAAATCTTTAATGTTATTAAATATGTGTATGTATGATGGAGGAGTGTTTCAATATAACTGCATAGATGAATTGTCGTAAGCTAAAGTATGAAACTGAAAATTATTATTTTGAATGGATGAAATGCTAGGAAACATTCATGACAGTGCGAAAAAAAAAAGTATGGAAGTAACTATATCTTAACTATTCAAATCAACGATTAACTCATATTTTAACTATTTAAATCAATAGTTGCAAGCAAAACAGATGAAGTTGATAGCTGGAATATCTTAAAATTAATTTCATGCTAACATAAAATTCCTCAGCACATTCCAGTTACAAAAAAGCGAATTTTCGTAACAAATTTAAAGAGTTACATTCAGCTTAATAAAAGAGAAATTAAACTTAAAAAAAGCATGAGCGTGAAAAAATCAATAAAAATTTGGTTTGTAGAAATTAAATAGAAATCTGAGAAAAAAAGTGAAACGATCTCAACAAATAACAGTTATCAAGACAACAACAAAAAAAAAAAAAATCATTAGTAGAAACAATACATGTGCAGGTGAACCCGCGATATCTAATTTCATCGATACAGTCCCTGAATTGAAGCATCAAATATCACGGGGTAACCTGCTTTTTCTTCGTTTCTCGTCTTTTCTTCCTGATTGTCAGATGTTTGTTGTGCATTTGAGAACGTAGTTATCCATTTCGCAAAAGTTCGCTCCAACATTGGAATACTCCGAAAATTTTGATTTAAAGTACATCATATAAAAAAATCTTAATCAGTCCATATGAGCAAACATATTTAGCCATGCACAATGAAAGAATGGAGAACCTCAACTAGTAACAAGCACCACATTAATAAATCGAAAAAGCAAAACAAAATAAAACAATCTATTTAGCTTATTTTCTATTAGAAAAATAAAAAGAAAGAAAACAATCGAAAATAGCTGATAATAAATAAATTGTAAAACAAGTAAAATCTTAACCTAAATATGAAAAGAGATTTATAGGAATGACCAGTGTACAAATAACCCTGTTTTCAAACTTTATGCTAAAAAAAATTTTAGTCTAGTAGAATTAATGCAATATTTTATATTTGAACATTACTTATATATCCGCTAGTGTTACCTACATCAGAATCTCCCGAAAACAGATTAAACTAATGAGTTGCCACCTTCATGTCAAAAAATGTCAGCCCAGCTTACCGGATTAAAGCGTTTGTATATAAAATAAAAACCGATTCTGATCTCAGACTAATAATTCACATTGTTCATTCTAGCAGCTTGGCTTGCATTGAAATTTGTCCTATAATTTTTTTAAAAAAAAAGAGAAAAAAAAGACTTTAACAAGGATTATACATTGATTAAAATAGAAAACTCAACAACGATACAGAAAAGAAACTCAGGTTCTTTCAACTGAAAGTGAAACAAAAATTTCAAAAAAAAAAAAAAAAAAAAAAACAGAGAAACCGCTGCCGAGTTATTACAAAACTGACATCACTTACACGTTCAGCACTCACCTATCTAGTGTAGACTATGACAAAAAAGCATTAAAAGAATATGAAGTAAAACAAAAAACGACCAGCATATAATAAATTTAAAAATCCGGATGACTACAACGAAAGACATCAAAATAGACAAAAAGGAAAAATTAAAACAAAAAATCATTCCCAAAAATATTCTCGAAAATGATGTATTATCTCTATGATGTAAGCGACACATCAGTTAGACCCTTTTGCTACTGCTGTCTCGCTGTAATTTTGCCACCTGAAAAATAAAATCACGAAAGGAAAACGTACACCGATATGTTGTACACGCAAATAACACATTTTTTAAACAGGTTTTTTTTTTTTTTTTTTTTTGCTTTTTAATCACCATAATTTTTAACGCAATTTCACAAAATGTACATTAAAAAAAATTATAACTGAATCATCTCTGATAACAGTGAAACACATAATTTGTGGAAATTTCCAAACAAATACTTCATATTCAATCATTTTAAAAATTTATACTTACTTTTTCATTGTACAATCTTTCCTCTTCAGAATCTTCCTCATCGGAATTGAAACTGTCACTGTCATGATAACTTTCCGAAAGCTGACCAGCATCTACCCCTGTAGGCTCATCTGACAGACCCTGCATTGTTGATGCACCAAAAAAAGTCCGAGATTTTAAAGATGATGGTTGACATATCATCATTCCATTTCCCTCATTGATGGGAAGTTTATTTTGCATATGCACATCTTGTGAACTAGCAGGTTTTTTAGAAAGACTCATATCCATGGTCCATGAATTATTTGCATGGCCTGTTAAATAAGATTTTAAAAAGCAAAGAAATCATTCATAATTATAAAAAATTAAAAGGAATCACCTCAAAATTATATGTTACGTCCAGCTTAAGGGAAAATACTAAGAATTCCTGGAAGATGTTGAAATATAATATTGGCATTTACGAAGTAACAACAAACCATTATCAGAAACTAAACTTCTCGCATCCTTTGAACTGTGCAACCTGAACTTAGTAGAAATCAGTGGAGTTCCAACTGCAGCGGTGGAAGCAGATGAGTAATTCATAACAACCGCATCATCTTCAAATGGAGATTTTCGTTTCCCTAGAATGAATTTTCTCCAATAATTTTGATGCATTAGCAAACAAGATTTCGACAATTAATGATTCTAGAAAGAAGAAACAACTAATTAAGCTAGTAACCTGAATTCTAAATAAACCTACTTTCCAAAAAAAAAAAAAAAAAAAAAAAAAAAACTAAAAATAAGCTATGGAGACCAGCAGTTTACCTTATATTCTCCAGACTTGGAGTTTATAAAGTATAAAATGAACTTTCTTTTAATTTAAGTAAGAAAAAAAAAAACAAGATCCAAATAAAGTCACTTTGACATTTACGTTCACGTGTTTTGCGCGGTACTGCTTACGAAAATGAAATAAATCTTGGAATATATTATTTTTACATGATGCTGATATAATTTTTACTTGATGTAATCATGGATTCCGACATTTCCAAACCAGCCAGTCGTCGTATTTCATGGTCTGCAACGCGCAAATTAGCCGAAAGTGCTTTGATTTGCTTCTCGTAATTTACACATCGTTCACGCCACTGACCTTCGATAACACCATTCTGATACGCAGAAAGAAGTGACGCCGTCTGCAGTGGTGCAAGTGAGAGAATAATGCATAAGCACAGATGCACAAAACCATAAATACATAGCACAAAATAATAACTTTTAAGATCGAATTTTTACAGAGAAGCAAGTGCTTTATCCAATAATTAGAATCTGAAATCAGGCTAAACAGCTAAACAACCACCTAATTAAAGTGTTCAAGTTTTTCAGAACTGATGTTTACTAAAACTGGTAAAAGAATATTGGAGAACTGGAAATGGTCAGTTAAATCGTCTACAGCAGCAGGAATACCAGAAACAAAAAAAAAAAATTTTTTTTTTTCTCGGAGATGAAAGAACATCATAAATTAGCTCTTCAACTTTGATCTTTTACCATTCGAGATGAATCCGCTGGTTTCAAAAACAAATAACCACTTTCCATTTGGTGCTTTCTTCTTTCCTTACTCCTCTGTAAAACATCCAATCTGAAAATAAACTAACAAAAATAAACCACAAATTTTAACACAATGCGGTGACACTGATATGTCACCATAGAAAAAATAAATGAATTTAGAAAAACTATTATAATTCCAGCATGGATTGCGAAATTGTGAAAGAAAAAAAATACATAGAAGTGTAACAGTGAAAGACACCACTGTCGTAGGCATAAATCAACCTCGTAAGATTAAATCATTTCATTTAACTAACCTCCTAATTTTCAAATCAGTAGGAAATGTGTCAAGAGATTCGTCTTCGTAATTCTCCGACTGCTTAATATTTTCAGATTCTTCTTTTTGCGATTGACCCACTTTAACAGAGGACTTAAATGTAGGAGTAAGTAGCGCATCATTAGGCCTAAATTCAGAATCTTGTAATAATTGCAGCTTAAATAATTACTTCAACTACATAAGGAAGTTAAATAACTATCAAAAAATCGGGATATGTTCAGATGAAGATAACATACTACCTTATACTTGAAATCTTTTAACTGACTATATGGCATGACTACCAATACTAGATCTCAAGTTTTATTGGATCCCTAATTTCTTTTACTGTCAACATGTTACCCAAACTTCTATACTTAATATAGAATTATTTTCTCCTTAAAACCAAAATAATATTTGAATCCCTTTCACCAAGAAAAAATACCGCTAAAAAATGCCGCTAAAAAAAAGTTACCGCTAAAAAATGCGACCATATAAAAGACAAATAATTCAAGTAACAAGACATAACTAAATCGCATTTCAGTGAAATTTGTTCGAAAAACCTACTTCGACTATATTATGGATAATATGATATGGAGTAAAATATAACTGACACAAATGTCGTCCCTACTAAAAAAGCATAAAAAAATACTGTTGCTTTTCCGCTGTTACTGCGAATTCCGAGCATTTCACCAAAACAAACGGATTAAACTTATTCCGTATTTTCTCAATACCAACCATCCCATAACCAAAGAATCCAGCCAACACATAGATGATGACAGTGATAAATGGAAGTGAAGGGAAAAAAAGATATACCAAAAACATAGGCAACAACTGATCATCCACAATGGATGGCAATTCGCAACCAGGAGCACTTAGAAAACTGCAAAAAAAAAAAAAAAAAAAAAAAAAACCAAAATCATCTTTTCGCACTTCTAGAACAAGCATTATCTGGAGAGATTCGCATACTACAGAAGTACTTCAAAAACTGAAAAATGTGGAGACTTCTGGAGCTTACAAACCAAGCATTCAATGAAAGTTTCAAAAAAAGTACACGAGTACAATCCAGTCATTCAGGATTTCAAGATGAATTTGGTGAGTTATACGCAGCGGCAAAAAACAAGAACATTTTTCGGAAAATATAAGTTAATGGCATTTTCCACCTTCTTTGCAGATATGAATTTCTTATTCGGAAAATAGTATTTACATACTTGTTGCCGATAGATTCTAGCCTCGAAAAAACATCTGCTTTTAGATCATACATCATTCCATGTAACCATCCCATCTGCCCTTCCATAATTGTTTTGTTTAGAGAACATCTGTATGAAGAAATAAAAAACATTCTATGAGAACAAGGTAGATTTTAGCGACCGAAATTACGAGCTAATAAGTGTCCTAGCAATTTACAAAGAAATTCGATAACAGTAAATGTTAGTAGAGTCATAACAAATCAAAGCTATATGTTCAAGTAATTTACGAAGAAATTACACAAACTAAAAAGGCAAAAATTTTAGCGGGACGCAAGGATAACAGATATTAAGTAGGAGAGTTGGCATAAAGAATCCACAAATAGCTGGATGTTCAAGCATCCAACTGCTATATTTTGCACTATTGATTGTTTTAACGAAAAAGTCTTACTTTATAAAAAAAGTCATGAAATAAATAGTCATTGTTACTAGAAGGAAAAGAAAGCAACCTTACGGAATCCAGAATAACTTTCTGTTCCGAAACAGCATCAGTAAAAAAGCTGTAGTGAAGGAGTACTGCAGATGCAACAAATGAAAGACCGATTGTAATAGAAAGTAGACCTAAAAGTTACAGAACCTCATAGTTTAAGGATATCAGTTTATACTGACATTCTTCAAAAATTTTATGCACAATCAAAAACTTTCTCATTTCAATAAAAAAAAAAAATAAATATTAAGCAGTATTACTTATTTTTAAAAAGCAAGGTACCTTCAAAAAACTTTAAAAACATAAAGATGAATGAAATGTATATTTAATATACCTCGCCAAAAGAAAGCCATTTGTGAGTAACCATTTTTTTTAACATCACGACAATCAAATAATTCCTCATTATCACCACTGACATGGTCAACAACAAGTGCTATTTGCTCTCGCTTTTTTGAACTGTTTGAGGTTTCTGCCGCTGTGCTTCCTATAAATTGTTTTATATAAAATTTATGGTGTGAAGTCCTTTGTTTTTTACATCATGCTAAATTTGTATTTAAAAGACCTGTACAAAGAAAGAATAAAACATGTTTTACCTCCATTACATTTGCGAAAATAAATAATCGCAATTAAGCATAGTATAAAAGTGACCAAAACTGGACCATAAAGATTCATCGCGCTCCTTACCGTGTGAAATCCGAAATAGCAAACACCGGTGATACCATTTGTTTCAATCTGAACATTAAAGGATAGTTATGACGAATTAGGTCCCTTTCGAGAAAACAACTTTTTGGATAGATTACCTCTTACGATGCATAGCGCATTACTCAGAAAGATTAACGAAATTACCACCTAGACACCAGTCCGTGAAGTGATAATAAGACATATGAGCTTATTTATATTAACGAATAAAGAAAGAATCCATTGAAGTCAATACTCTGACGATAACCCGAAAAAGTATTTTTTTTATGTGCCACTGACTTATATTTGTTTGAATCAATCCAGTTTATATTCCTCATTAAATTTGGAATTAATTACTAATGAATACTTTCAAATGAATACTTACAGTATCTGCCCATAATGCAATCGTAGCCATTGAACCAGCCGCCAAATAACAAATAAGGAAAAAGCAACGTAAATTAAGATGGTAATGTTTATTCCATTTAATTGTTTGATTGGAACTAAGTTTAGGTTGACCGATTTGAATTGCTAATGCAATCAGTAACCAAAAAAAGCCAGATAATATTGTGGTATACAAAAGCCAAAATTGAATGCTGCACCAATCTAATAAAGCTCTGAAGAATTTTTTTACAGCAATATATAATTTTCAAATGTAGTATTGTAGAAAAAAAAATATAGAAAATCAGCTGAAGAATGAACAGACAAATTTTACTGATGGACTAAACAACCAACATAGTAAACTGTGTAATTCCGAAGAGGTAGGTATACTTAATGTACAAGTTAGACTGCGATTGAGCAACCAGAAAGGAAATCTGTCAAAATTTGCTTTCTTTTCAACAAGAACACTGAATTTTTTTATTGCTAACATCATAGATTTTTTTGGCTTCACCAGATTAAAACCTCATAACGTCTCAGAGGCCAAAGCTGTTCACTGCTCAATTCCGAAATTTTCAATTTCACAAACGAGCTCGCAGAGCAAGGATGATTTTCTCATCATAGACGTCCAGTTTAAATAAGTTTACCACTTTTCTTTTTCTATGTATATAAAAATAAATATGCATAAAGTTAATAAAAAACTTCTTTTGTGAAAATTCAAATAATGAACACATTTCTTGAGGTTAATAAAACTTGATATGTTGTACTAGCTAAAGATTAGTTAAGTGTTGCTAAAGTATCTTCAGTTTCATTTTAATATGGTAATATTTCGCCTTATAAAATAATATGCTTTTGAGCAAAACTGCTAAAATACCTTAAAATTTTTGCATCACGTCTTAACATATCAAAACACATTGCACGTTCTGCCACTCGATCAGCATAACTTAGTAACCATATAAACCAGTGGACTGATGCACTTAACAGTGCATGGGTTAATGAGTAAACGCAAAGATCACTTGTGAAGAGAAGTGAGAAGATGAACAAATAAAGCTGAAAGAGATATCTTTTAAGTGTAGAAGTAATTTTCTTCCTGACATATAATCAGATTACCAAAACCAATTTGAAATAAAGAATGATTGTTACCTACTAATAATTAGTGCTGCTTTAATGCATATTGAAGGGCTAAACATACGAGGCAACTCGGAGCTATACGTTGCTTTTGGAACAATAATTTTGAGACAGAACAATTCAGAATTATCGGATAGAACAACTCAGTAGTTACAACAAATGTCGTTGAAAAATATCCATGTAGAAGGAGTACAATCTTTTATGCTTAGTTATTATTGTGTGTGTGTGTGTATATGTCCGATGTACTTAAACTTGATGGAATTCTACAACTGCATAATAAACAAATTTTATTCAAGAAATTTAATTCTTACCGCAGAAACTAGACCACCAACAACGATGAGCAAAGAGAAGGAGAAAATTGACATCCTGAAACCATCGTATAGCCACTGTGAGCTAATTAGAGGTGGCCTATAAAAGACATATTATTGTATAAATTAGACCTACAGGAAGCATATTTCCAAGAAAAAATAACTAAAAAAGTAGGGAAAATCGTATACCTGCACGGAAGATAACAATCATCGATAAGAGGTTGAGCCAACGGCTTATGACTTATCCCAACAGCCAAAGGCCAGAGACACTGCTTTGGTTCCATTTTTGACGGTTCTTTGTTGTAAGTCATCTAAATAGAAAACAGAAAAAAGAATTTTGAGCTGAGCTTAATAATAATTTCAGGATAATAAGTTTTCTAATGTAAGCCAAACCACTCAGAATTCCAGGACTTGACCAAGAGATTTAAATTTTGTCGTAGTTGTAGGAAGCAATGCAAATAGAATGCATTTGCGTGCTTAATGTAAAATTATATCAACGATATGATAGCTTTCATTAAATTTATCGACGTTCCAAACATTATGCCAATAATTTAGTAACCGTTTCAAGGAAGTAATAAAAAGCAAGTAATGAAATGTTTCATAAGTCGAGTAATTACGTCATTCTGGGGTAAGAGAAATTATTTTTCTTGGAAGACAAGTTTTAAAACATCGATAACTTCACGGAATTTGCCATCCTACTACAGCAATTTGTTGTGTATTTAGTATTTTATAAACAAATAAATTTAAAACCAAGATATTCAAAGGCTAATTTGCGGTAATCAGTTTAAAAAGATTCTTCGTCCAGAGTATGAAACTGTTCAAAAACAAATTTTTTAGTAGACAGCAACAAATAAAGCATTTTTAGTTTTCGTTTCTTTTTTTCTTTTTTTTTTTCTTTTCAGTACATAATACGTTTATATTTTTCTATTTAAAACATATTCGCTTCTGTTTATTTTAATATTTTCCACTAAACTAGTGTTGTTCAAACGTATAACAACATAATTTACCGCACAAGATCCATCCGAAAAAATCCGTCTTCCGTCCTTCGACTTAATGGTATCTGAACAGTTGATAAAACTAGGCCAAAGATCATTTTCCAGAAGAAAACCACATTTCTCAATTGCTTGTTGGCACATGTCCTTTCGAAACACTTGCCATAATTCCATTGTGCCTGGCTGTAATCTTGTTTGGACTCTAAGAAAGTCAAAGACTAAATCTTTTTTAATAGATATGAATTACGACATAGGGGCATAAAAACAACAAAAGACACAAAACTATTTTATCAATCAGCACAAGATAAATTAACTAATCTCAAGTTGTCTGTGCTACGAAATAAAATATACCTTATCCATCGAAACTTCGAAATATGCTCGGTTAGAACATGGCCTATAAGCCACTGCACATAGCAAGGGTCCCAATGACGACCAACATCTACAAACCAGTTACGAATTAACAATATTGGTTGAAAAATATCAATCTGATGGTACTTCTATATGTCAGACAAGAAATCCCAACGGAGAATTTAATTTGGTGATTTCGGATGGGAGGACTTGAGTCATTCTTCGTTTTTTGTTGAAGTTTGTTTTTGTCTTGTAACACTTCTAGTTCGTTGAGCTATGGGTTCCTCTCGTTTATCAGTTTCATTTATTGTATCTTTCGATGTTGTTGATTGGTTCTTCGTATCTTCTTTCTGTTGAATTTCCAATAGATATAACATATTTATAGGATTTACAAGAATTACACCATGAAGTTAATTTTTTCATGGATATAATTCCTTTTCATGATACCTTTATGAAATCCAACTTTACTTAAAATATACTGCATCAGATATGCAGAAAACATATGCTAAAAACAAGCAATCATACCGTGGGAACTTGCTGAGAATTTCATATTTCGGTAATATAGCAATTACACTTGCAGCTTCCAAAGTATAGTTGTAGAGAATGGGTATTCCGAAACAGCTTTCCGTAGGGGATGGTGAGATGCACAATCCGGTAGTACGATTTACATATTCCAAGCGACACTCTTGATTACAAGCCCAATCAGAATGAATACAGTTTCCATGGGTATAAAATATCTGCAAAATTCGATATGTATTTTTATTCAATTTTGATTGTCGACGAAAAGTGCAGGAAATAAATTTTAGATCTCCCTACTACTAAACGGACTCAGAAAAGGTAGGCCGCAGTAGTATGACACTGATGATAAAATAATAAATGAATCATGAATAAAGAACAGTAAATAAAAATAACTGTGCTAATGAACAGAAACTAGCTAAAACATTATTTTCACTGAATTAAACAATTTTTCAGGCCGCAAAAGTCAGTTATCCCAGCTACGGATTGCAAGTTTAACTTATCTTACTTCATGTTGCGCATTTGCTCACTAAAACAAAATTTGTTGAGTTTTGAAACTGACTAAAACTGTCTTCTCAAAATACACTTAGAAGTCGCTCACGAACAGTTTGTTATTAGTCATTATATCGGTAGTCCTTTCGAGACAAATTTGGGCCTGAACTATAACATTTCAAAAGCTACATTCATAGATCTGTTCCGTTAAAAAATTGTTTAAAGCTTGTGCAGCATCTTCTGACATATGCTAACTATAGATGCTTCCTAATACTACGATAGTTCAACTTTTCTGTCCTCCTACAAACGCCAAGAAAAATCAGTGTAGGAATGCCGAAAATTAACCGAGTTCTGCTTGCACTATGAATTAAGGATATAACCGGAAATCACGAAAAATTTTATCATTTTGCACCTGTTTGATGTATTGTTCGCTATGACCCAGGTCACGTCCATTACGCCCTGAATTTTTCGTGACCGCGTAACACAACGCAGATTTATTTAATACCAAAAGGAAAAACATGCACAACAATAAACACATTTTTTCCGTGTACGGGTAACCATATCGTTGCGCACAATTAGCACTTCCTGAAAACAGCCATTCAAAATGAGAAAAAATTAATTAATTTCATATAGCAGATTAAGTGGAATATGATTCATTTAAATTTTTAATAAAAAAAAAAATGAATTACTTATACTTGTCCAAGTTATTAGTCAAGCTCAAATATCCATTAAATCAATTAAGACGAATTAAGTGGTTAAACTTCCATTAAATGAAATCAAATTAATTTAACTTGTTCAAATTCTCAACAAATTATTGTAAAACCAATTTCAAAGAGCACTTTCACTTTAGCTCAATTGCCGTAAAATAATCCTAATTCAAATCTGAAAAAAAAAAAAGAGGATAAGAGTACCTACCTTGTCCCATGTTGCTTCCGACTTCAACTAACGCAAAACTCATCTTCTGTCTCTCATTATTATCTACCTTATGGGCGTGTACGATCACGTGATGGTAATATTCACAACAGTCAACACCTCCTAACTCCTCCTATCTCATCTCATCAAATTCAAATCCTCCAATCGCACTCTACAACTCACCATCAAAGGTCTTGACCTCATAAACTCCTCCCCTCCCTATACCTTACACGAAAGCAGCCCACAAACGAAAGAAATCTATGATGAGATCAATTGCCATGAAAACGGTGAAATTCCGAAAAAAAGAGGGACAAGCGTATAAAGGAATGGAAATGAATTATAAATAAACGGACGAACAGCAATGCACATTAGGGGAACTAAAAATAATATGAAAACGTAATATATTTATTAATTTAATTATTGAAAAAGGTCAAAGAAAGCGGCAAAAATTTTTTGAACTTTCCAAAGAAAAGGGCAAACGGAGCAAAACAAATGTGTTACATTGCTGTTAAATAAGATTGGAAAATTTTCCAGAAATGTAGTGAAAATAACGGAAAAGTGTACGAAGTAGACTTTTCGAGTTAAATGAGATAAAACTAGTCAAAAAAGGAATATTGGTATGTTATTAGACCAACTAATGTGTAAAAACCGGCAATCGGCTACCAAATTTAAACACTTTTCTTTCTTAGTCAAAAAAAAAAATACTCATCCTAGATTGACTGCAAAGAAAAAATCAATTATCATTATTTTTCTACTACTTCAGATTCATACATCACTTTCATCATATAAATTCAGAAGTTTGGGAATAAAAAGTACTATCTAGAACACTGCGTGCAGGTTTATCAGCAAATAATTGAAATCTTATTATTTTATTAATTTCAAGTCAAGTGATTTTATTGATATGTATCAGTGATTACATGAACCATTTTTAATAAGTATTCAATTCCCACCGCTTGTCGATTCCATTTGGTCATGCTAAAGTCGTTAATCAACGAATAAAAAGTAAATCAAATCAGATTTTTGTTATCGAAAATCTTTTCCTAATTAGAAGTGGCAATAAAACCTTGCTTATCACCTAGCGAATTTCCAGCCAGATCAAACGCACTAATTTCCCATATCACAACCTACAGATTGCATGTAAGTTTGTCGCTGATTATTTAAAAAGTTGATAGAAATAATGTCTAAAGTTCCAATTTATTTGTTTTCACTTTTTTATCGCTTGTTTTGAATCTAACAATAGCTAGAGATAACGAAAATAAATGGCAATTTTCAAACCCATTTTATGTCATCCAAATTTTGCTAATTCTATGACATTCTAAATTATGCTTCATTTGAAATCAGTAGCATTAAATATGTTAAGAGAAAACCGAGTCTGCAAAGTAAATTTCATTTCATTTCGGTCAGTCCACATTTAATTTATTAATATCCCCTACTTATTCTATATTAGCTTCCACTAATTTGTAATTTAACAAATTCCCAATTTCAGTTTAAAAAAAATGTAGTTTCCCACTCATGCAATTTTTTTGTCCAATCATCCTATATCATACTTATCATTGCATAAATCATTACCTTTGACTTAATACCTAGGAAACAAATTTGTCATAAGTTAAAATTTTTATTACAAGACTGTAGAAATACATAATTATGCGCAAATAACGTAATGTTTATTACTACATTGATCCTACGTAATAAGTGAATCTCATCACATTAAAAATGACTCAGATCTTATTATAGAACAAAATTCATCAAACAAAACTCATTTTTAAAATTAGCATATGCAATGATACTAATACAACACACATATGTTTTGCAAATGTAATCATATGAAGGAATAAAAAGTTAAAAAAACTGATAAAATCATAAATAGTATTACACTACTGTTATGCAAAAAATTATGCTATTATACCACCACGTCGAAAGATTAATGCTACGCATGAGTTTAACAAAAGTAGATGCCATAAAAATTGTACAAAAATTTTATTAATAAATAAGAAAGAATTATAAAAGTTTAATATTAAAATAAATCTGAAAATTCACTGTTTAAATTTAAGTACAATTTACGAGATAACTGACACGTTTTTGAATGTAATCGATAGCCTAGTTAACATTTTTCTTTCGTTCTCTCTCTCTCTCTTTTTTCTTTCTTCGGTTACCTGTCACTGGTATTATTTCTTGGCCATCACTACCAAGTTAATTAGGCATTGATATATCAGCTAACCAATTGCCTGGCCTACTAGTTATCAACGATCAATTCACAATCATTTATCACTTATAAGTACAATTTGCATATGATCCTTATCGCTATGCGTGATAACGTTACCACAAACAACAACAAATGTGGCTATAACTATTTCAGTTATTTTAATGAGACTTTTATGAGAAAATTATGACATACGTGTAAGCCACTGGTGTGACTTTCAAGATGTTCCTTACATAAGCACTGTAAATGTGTGGCTATAACTAATCAATCACAAGACCAGTAAATACACGCGCGTTATGAACATTATAATGATACAAATGTAGCGGCAGTTTTTACGTACGTACGTAAAAAACCTTATTGGTTATATCTGTAGCGTAAACCCACGCCCCCACACAAACGTAATACGCGAAAAGATGTACAGCATACAAGGAATGTGGGAAACGGCGAGAACGTAGGCTATCGAAGTGTAGTCTAATGAAATATTTCGGTCTCAGGGTGTCAAAAGAACTCGTAAGGTGGTGGCGGTAGAAGTGGGATTTTCACGTAGATATGGCGTAATAAAAAACAATAGATCTGTTTACATTCTACACATTTTGTCTTTTACAATTCATTGTAGATTCTTTTTAGCTTTAGATATTATAAGAAATAATGTTAACGTACGCACATATTTTGTCTTTCCAAGTTATTTCCTGTGATATCTACGTCATGTACGCCTAATGCATACATACACAAATTTTATGCTTATTGATCGGGTCCTTTTATATGTCGATAATCGAATCCTTTTATCTTTTTTTTAAATAGTATGATACCAAAACGCGATAAACCCTTACCTTTACATTACTTGTGTTGTTATCATTTTATAGTGATGGTAGACATTTGTGAAGAAGTATCAATACACCAGACGGCATCAGGATTGAATAAGACTGAAAGAATCAAATCGAAAACGGAACAGGAATCGAGAATTCAGGCTAGTCCATTTAATCATGTTTATTTATCATTTACCACGTAGTTATTGATTTGTTAAATGATTCCAATTGAGGTGATTTCTTATTTCAATAGCACACTCTGGAATATAATGGTAGTTTTTGCTTTTATCACCTATAATAATAGAGAGAGGAGACAAGTAGGAACTTATAAAGATAATACTTGTCTCCAAAAAGAAGTGAAATTTATAAGGCTCTTGGCTAAACAATTTCGATACAAATTAAGTTTATATCTGAGTGAGACTGCATATACTGCCGATTTTAGACTATCTTCTATTTCATTATCTATTCCATTTTTTCTCCCAGACTTTTAATCGATTTCTTCATTCACACTTTTTCCTACTAATCATTGCAGTAGTATTGATAAATGGTCAAGTTGAGAAAGTTTGATATGAAATTATTGTAAATGATAAGGTAAATGAGTGGATAATTTTGCAGTCGAATAAGGAATACCCTTCACGACATTCTCATACAGGAAGAGATACTGCAAGATCTGAAACTGTTGAAAATGCAACACATGGTATGATTTTGTTAGGACGCAAATATTGATGGAAATCATAATGATATAGAGAAATGATATGAAAGAAATGTCTGTTTATGTGATTTATGCTTATAAATTGCAGGAAGTTTCTCATATTTGAATTTCAGTATAAATCTGGTCCTAATTTCTTTTTATACTATTTTAAAATAAATTAACAGTTTGTAAAGTCTTTGACTTTGAATGAAATTCTTGTATGACTATGATATGCTACTAGTGATGAAAGCAGAAGAAAATATATAACTAAGCTAGCAGATTATTCTAGAAGTTTAATTGTTTATCCAGAATCCAAAAAGTATTGTTAGTAATGTTTTGCTAGATTAATATTTTAGACTACAATCAATTTTTGATAAATAAAAGTCTTTCGTTTCAAATGACAAAGAAAAAGAGCCATTTACTAAATAGCTCAGATATAAATACCATTCATTTTTACATTTTTATTTACTTTTCAAGTTTTGTTTTTTCGTGCTGAAAAATGTTCTCTATGTTCTTCAAGAAGCAAATGATGACGAAGAAGAGTCAGAATTCAAATATGGTGCACAGCATGTTATTCACCTATTTGTTCCAGTTTCCATTTGCATGGTGTTTGTTATATTTACAATGAACACCGTTGGTTATTACACTCGCAAAGATGGCCAATATTTGTAAGATTGTTGTGAATAAGTGAATTATATTAATGTAGCTTAACGAATTCAGAAATTCTAATAAATTTCAAAAAACTTCAACAGTTAAAAATAGTATCTTTTATAGTTCATTAATAGTAAAACAACTGATGTTATCATCTGTTTTGAAAATTCAGTTATATAATATTGGAAATTCAGAGTTATTTTGAACTTTTATAGATTTTAAATTGTTGCTTATGCGGAAACTTATTGTTACCATACGTGCGCGGCAAATCATTATATAAAGCACTTATATGACTAAATTACGAAATTCTTGTAACTTTCTGTTTTTCAGAATTTACACTCCATTTACCAAAGAAACTGATAACACAGGTGAAAAATTAATAATGTCATTCGGAAACGCGTTCATTATTTTGGGAGTCGTGGTGACGATGACTGTTTTATTAATATTTCTTTACAAATTTCGATTTTATCGGGTTTGTTTTATCGCTTGATTTTGATTATGAAAGAATATGAATGTTATCTATTATTCATTAACTGCGTCGCTGATTATTGTAGATGTACAACTGTGTTTGTAATATCAGAATGGAATCTCGCATATTAGTACTTCTTTTAGATAGATTGCATATTGCAATTATATTTAAATTTCAGGTCATTAGTGCGTGGTTGGTACTGAGCAGTCTGATATTACTATCTCTTTTCACATTTATGTACTTGCAGTAAGTGTTTCATCTAATATAAGAGCTTCAAAGTAATAGTTGCTTTAATCCTTAAAAGAATTCAATAAAGTGGTTGAGTTAATCTCAAGAATTGAGCACAGTACAAGGTGATGTGATTGCCGAATAAAACATCAGTAAGCTATTTAAAAAATTCTTTTTCAGAGAAGTCTTTAAAAGTTACAATGTACCAGTTGATTATATATTAATTTGTATTTTTATTTGGAATTATGGTGTAATGGGAATGATTTGCATCCATTGGAAAGGTCCTTTAAGAATGCAGCAGGTGTTTATTTAAGATGTTGTTTATTTGTCAGTTATTTATTTAATATACCTTATAATGACTGAAAATCTTTTTGTGGAAAGGATTTGTTAACTAGTGATCCTAACGTGTTGGTGGATTTACTGTTATGGTTTCTTTCTATCCAGTAATTACATCTAATGTTTTGTTGGTATGTAAGTTCAAACAAATGATAGCTTACTTTTTTTTTTTCGGTTATGGTATTTACGGTCTTTTGATTTCACAGTAAAAAAAAAACAATTGTGTTCTTTATAACTGTTGCTAGCCTACCTTCTGTACATCCCATTTATGTCATTCTCCCGTGTTTCGAATCTATTAAGTAATTTAATCGTTGGACGACGAAATAACTCATTCCTTCTTCAGTAATAAAGTCAGTGAAGTTTTAATTTTTTAGGGCTACTTAATAATGATGTCAGCACTGATGGCCCTCATTTTCATCAAATATTTACCAGAGTGGACAGTATGGACTGTTCTTGCCGTAATTTCTATTTGGGATCTTGTTGCTGTACTTTGTCCAAAGGGACCATTACGGATACTTGTCGAAACTGCTCAAGAACGAAATGAACCGATATTTCCAGCACTTATTTATTCATGTGAGTAATTTTCTATTCGGGTATTAAGATATTAAAATATTCCTGTGAGTATTAAAATGTTATTTCAGCTTTAAACTTTGAAAAACTTGAGAAGGTATGATAATATCATTGCACAGAGGGGTGTGCTGTTGGTGGACATTAGCTTCTCCGAGTTGTACAACTTATGGCATTAGAAATAAAGTCTGATCTAAATTTTTCTTTTTTTTTCAAACCATTTTTTAATTGAGCTGGTTTGCTTTACGCGTACACATTAATTGGCACTGCGATGATGGAACAAGATACTTCATGTGTTACAGGAAATACTCAATCGGAGTCTGGTAATCCTGGTATATTTTCTGTTTTAAAATCCTGTTATCCAGTATATTAACTTGCATGAAGTGTGAAATCTTTTTTTTTTCTCTTTTTTTTAATTGATTTTTTATCCTACATGAATTTATTCCTCTTGTTAGGAAGTTCTACCGGTTCAACGAACGGTTCACTGCCATCGACGGCTGAGTTACTTCCAGCTAATGATGCAAACGAAAAGCGAGGATTCCCTCAGGGAAAGATCATACGACGATTTGCTCCGACACGTACTGCCAATGGTATAGTGTGATGTTTTGCCATTTTTTATTTCTAGTATTCTCTTATTGTTATTTCCTTTTATTAGAAGTTTTTACAGAATCTTTTGCTGAAAATTTTGCTTTTTATTGAATTGGGAAATTCATGAAGAGTTCGTTTAAGTTGAATTGTGCACGCGTGATTAATGGTCTATCATCATTTAATCCTGTTGTTTAATCGCGAAATACGTAGTTCAGATGCTAAACACCTGCATTATGTAAAGTCTGTAAAAAAAGTTATGTAAAGGTTTTTCTGACATCCATAGATTAGAATAATGAGTTTATATTAGTAAGCATTATAAATGAAATTTGTTATTAACTGTACTGTTGAGATTGGATAAAGTTTTTTTGTTTTTTAGATCAAGGCGTTGAAAATGCTGGCTTGAATACAGAGCAGTCAGACAATAAGTAGGTTTCTTATTAAAAATTTAAAATTTGAGTAAAGAGTTTCTGAATACTGAAGTTGCTTTCAGTTCCAAAAATATCGGAAAGGGTCGAACCGCTGCATCATTTAATAAGGGTGGCGAAAGTGGTGGAACACAAAGGGTAACCGTTCAGAACACTGAAGTAAATCCGGCTGGACTGCAGAATGAAAGATTTCCAGATGAAAGTATGAAATTTCTGGGATTTAATTTCTGAAAATCAGTTAATAATTGATTAACTTCATACTTAAATGTGCTATCGAAATTCTGCCCAGAATGCATTATCACTGACTAATCTTACTTTATGGACCTTAATGCCCGTTTTAGTAGGAATGTTACATTTTGAAAGCGATCGAGAAAAACAGTGGAGTATTTAGGAGCATCATAAAAAACCTGAATGATCAATAGTTGTTAAATGTAATTGATCAAATCTTTCAAAAGGACGAACTATATTTATTTCTAACTTTGACAGTATTTTTTTTTTAGAAGGTATTAAGCTTGGCTTAGGTGATTTTATCTTCTACAGTGTATTGGTTGGAAAAGCAAGTAGTTATGGTGATTGGAATACAACAGTAGCTTGCTATGTTGCAATTCTTATTGTGAGTTATTCTATTTTCATTTATAAATATATTTACGAACATTTATTTCGCCTCAAAGTAAGGTAGATTACTTAAAAAAATATTCAAAAAACATTAACTTATTTGCATAAGTTTACGAAGTGATTACCTGTACATGTTAATGAGTGAAAAGGCGAACTGGAAATGACTTTGATTGTTATTCACTCGTATCACAAATTTTTGTAACTCTTCGGATATTATTATGAGCTCTGCAAGGTTTGTTCAATCCTGTAAATAAATTCTATTCGGATTTTAAGAATCGTTATAACATAAAACTCTAAATTCTATACAAATGTGAGTATGCATTTTTTAGGGTTTATGTTTCACACTGATACTGTTGGCTGTATTCCGTAAAGCTTTACCAGCTCTTCCGATTTCAATTTTTTGCGGATTAATCTTTTACTTTTGTACACGTGGAATTATCACACCATTTTGTACCAGTTTGAGCTTACGACATTTGATATATTAACCTCGATAAGAGGAAATGTTGTAATAAAGGTTTCTCAGCATTGAGCTTCTTTCTGTGTCAATCTTTTCTTTTTTTATTGATGTCAAACTTTGTTTATTTCATGATTTTTTGTTATGGTATATCACGACACACTTTTATATTTTACGAAGTAATGAGTAAAGTTCTTCTTTACTCACTATTTTATGTTTGTATTTTCATATTAAACAGATTATTTTCGGGAAAAATGAGTTATGTATCTATATTATTAGATATTGATCTGAGAAACACTATTCCTTACTACTACTACGGGTACGTCAACTATCGTTTCGTGGAGAATATTCTTTGAATTCCATTCTCTTATTCATATATTGCTTAGTATGTTGTTTTTTTTTCTATATCTCATTTATTATGGTACATCAGACTGACGGTGTAACTTGTAAGGCATTTCTGTTCATGAGGAAAATCTTCGACAAACTTTGTTGAATTTTTTAAAAACATTACGATTTTACAGGTGTTCATAAAAATAATAGTAGAGGGAGGATGGGATAACAATAAGTATAAAATAGGGGAAATAAAGAATTATGACCTAAATTTTATGAAGTTGCACAATATTAATAAACTTATTGAAATAGTACTGATGGGATTATTAACGTTGACATTTGGCCGAACTTAATATGCTACCTGAGTTTTAAATATCCATTGAGCTTCCTGAATCTAAGTTTTGAATGAGTTGTGGAAATGTCTTAGACGGATGCTTTTGATATAAATTTATTGTTGTCTGTTTGTCTGTCTATTATATTTGTTCTAATATATGATTTTATATGTCTTAATATATATATATATCTTTACAAATTCAGCATTTTTTAGAAAACGTTCAAGTTTTTTATGATTACTTGCACAATTCCCTTCTAGGCAAATTTCGAGTACATTTTGAATGAAACATACAGTGTCTCCGGAATGGAAAACACATCCGTAAATAGCATATAAATGAAACAAACTTTTTTAAACAGTTTGTTTCTTTTCAGTTACAATATTATCACCAATCAAATAAGCATAAAGAGGATAGATTAAAGCACCAAAAAGAGCAGCAATTATGGTAGCATTTAGGGCGACAAGTTTCGGGTCATAACCTTTCGGAATTTCACGTAAATAAGCTTTCATTTCAGCCAGATATTTGGTAGTGTCAATCCCAGGAATAGGTTTAACGGTGAAACCTAAATAGGTCTGTATTACGTCGTGCGGTAATCGGCTGCCAACTAATTTTTGATTTTCCAAACTTTCGGTGATTATACCATGTTCGACCCTTATTCGGTCACTGTAAAGTGGTAAAATAAATTGTGGTGTTCTTCCGTAAATCCATTCCCAGTTTCGTAACTCATCTTCATATTCTAATACACCCGGAAACTGTTCCTCATCTGTTACATTTGAAATCGTAGCCACTTCGGTATGCTGGAATGATAAATTTCGTTCCGAAATAGAATTGGGACTGCACAAACTGATTCCTGCGAAAATGTTAGAAATGTCCCTGCATGCAATTATAAAACATGTGTCTCACCAAATACTGTTTCTTAAATGATTCGATAACGACATCCTGCACTTTCTCAACTGTAATACCAGGAATTTCTTGCGCTAAATAACCGACTGCTGGTGCTTGCACACTTCGAGTAGCACTTGTTAACATTATTTCCTTAAACAATATTATTTTCATTTTTTTTGTAAATTTTTATAACACAAGACTTCAACTTCTATAAAGATCTCACAGAAATTATTGCATACAAATGCATTCACTGATGTTCATGAATCGTGAAGTATTGAAATTGAAATTCATACGAAACAGAAATTTCGGTTAATATTTCAAGCTTTTTTTTTTTAAAAAAAAAGCAAACATACACGAAAAGGAGACGATAAAGAACGTTTAAGAATAGCAACATCAACATTTACAAGCAACGTCAAATGGTGATATGCTACTTGCCGAACAATTCGTGCCGCTGTTCCTGAGATTTTTCGTTGGCCTGGTTGTAGCCATAGATCATCGCGATCATTCGGCTCTACCTGTTCATATTTCAAATTCAAAATACAGCATAACGAGAACAAAATAATCACTAAAAAAGTGAAGCTCATAACAACTCATCAGCTTGGAATTTCAAAAAACTGAGCTCGTCTTCCATTTTTAATTGAACTTTGCCTCAATCCTTGTTATAAATCCGTAATTTCTCTCATTTACCAATATCTTCGAAAAGAAAGAAAGGAAAAGTACTTTGATATTAAATTCTTGACTGAGTGCTTCAGCTATCACATATAAATTTCTCTTTCTGTTATGCCTTTGATACGATGTTAATATGGATATGTTAAGGTTACCTGAAAACTACGTAACATGTAAATGATACCGGACGAATATGAAAAGTAGATAAAGTGTAATTAATTTTTCAAGCATTAATGCTAATTTTGAACATCTAACCCAAGTCGTGGTAGACAGCTCCACCACCACTGTGACGTCTAGCTAATTCGATATTGTTAGATTTTAAGCAGTTTAAATCCGCTTCTAGCCATGGATTCTGATGTCGTCCAATAACTACTGCAGGCTTGTTGCTAAAAATTCACGTGAATTCTCATTTTTTGCGATGATACATGTATTTAAGAATAGTTTAGAGCAAGAAGTAGTCAATCTCCGATTGAACATCACCCAATATAGCAAATATAAGAATAAACTAACAAGGATGAAGTTAAATTCCAAGTCCAAATAACTGAAGCCCAAGAAAGTAAAAACCAAAAAAGCATGCTAATTTGCCTCATGATAATTTGGCTCCTTTATCTGGCTACAAAATACAAAACCACCAAAACCATTAGTTTTAATTAGATAAAATCCACTTTGTTCCTAATTCATCTTTTGAAATTTCATTAAATACTTCTTATAACAAAATATACCTCCAAATCAACATCGATTCACTCTGCCCATCTGCTTTATGATTCCGCAACAGCCATTCCTCAAACGCTAAATTTTCGAAGATATTTTGTGATCGTGAAATGAATACTTTTGCATTCTGCTTAAGGATACCAGCATTTCTACTCATACTGTCCTAGAATGAATCGATGATACAAGTGAATCGATGACCCTCTATTCATCACTTGCTTATAAATAATGGACAAGAAAAATATAGTTAGAGACACTTCCTAACTGGTAGTCTTTTTAAATTAAATGTAATGACCACAATACATATTATAGATTAAATTTTAATCGGAATAAAATTTACATATCATCAGATATTTGCATCAACATACTGTATAAGTCAAAACTCTATAGGATTTTTTCTTTTTATTTTAAACTTTTTAAAGTTATTTCATTTACTTCATCTCAGTAGATATACTTCTAAATGTCAATTTCTGCATACCAGCAACTCAAAAAAAAAAAAAAAAACTGACATTTCTACATTCCATAACAAATTGTCTTAGCAAATATACCATAGAAATTGTACAATATGTTTTAGTCGTCTTTAACAAATACTAAAGTTTTATTTAGAAAGAAGTTTTTTGCACATAACTTTTGAATGCAATGCAGTTGTTTATAAAAACTTTTCAATACTAAGAACTGCAGATGGTGAATGGGAAAAGATCAACGCTTACTATTACATGAAAGCAACATTGCTCAGTCAACAATATCAGAATTCAAAAAAGTCAGTCATATTTAGCCATAAATAATCCAAGAGGTTCCAGTAAAGCAATTTCTAATAAATACAACGAATTTACGGAAATAAACCTTATCAAGTTTACAAAAACAACAACAGAAAAAACGACAGTCGTGTAATGCTGAGATCACTGGTTATCAATCTCTCCGAGATATATTTTTTTATCACTTCCTGCTGACAACACTGAAATTATAAGGGTCCAGATAAAACCAAATTTGCATTCAAAAACCTAGTTCCATCAGTATACAATATGGCACTGGACTTATAGCTTCATATTTCGAAATCATATTAATAAAATAAGAAGTTTTGAAATGTACAAGTTATCAATAAAATGTACACTCAAAACTACTAAAATAGCTTGAGAAATTTGCAAATTCAGAACTGCAGAACGGAATTTGAGAAGCAATGCATATGTTGGCGAAAAATGCTTACATATTGGCTCCTTTGGATGAAAATCAGTTGCATTAACCGACCCTTGATGACCAGGCAATTTGTAAAGCACTCGTCGCGAAGAAACATCCCAAACATAAAGATAACGATCACTGGAACCACAGCTGATACGATGATTATCAGGTGACCAGGCGCACTTCAACAGATTCTGCAAGTGAAAGTTGCAAATTTTATAGATCTATCTTCTCCAGAATTCAAAAAAGAAATGAAAAAGAAAAAAAAAAAACTAGAATGAGTACAACGTATATTGTTCACTGATACTTTAATCTAACAAATACAGCTTACTGTAAAATCGCTTCATGTTATGAAACAAGCACAAAACCCTTATAGTACTAAAAGAATAAACCTTTTCAAAATTATGCTGATGTCCCGCAAACGATTTAACACATCGTTGTTCGGGTGCAAATGGTCTGATATCCCAGATTTTTGCTGAAATAATTGCAACTTACTCTAACTCCACCGATTTCCCTTTGGCAAATATATCAGTGCTTCGATAATGTCTTGATAGATAAATATATATATATATATATATATATCTGTTTATTTATCAGATAACCATTAGGAACACAGACAACCTTTTCAGATGTCCTCAAGATTGAAGATTCTGACTACACAATAAAGAAAACATCGGTAAAAAGAAAGAAGTAGCAAAACAAATTACAACTGCAGTCCATTGCATTGGAGAGAACATGTGTTCCTTCTGGACTCAACGATAAACCAGTAATTGTATCAGTATGACCTCGCATTACATACGCAAGTTCATTTCGTCGTAGATCCCACACCTAAAATCAAGCAAAGTTGTTGGATAATTTACCAAATCCACTCAAAGAAAAAAAACGACTATTTGTTATAATCTTTTTGAAAACTTCAGCCATCCGTAAAATTACCTTAATGTCATTATCGATTCCTCCACCAATAACCTGCTCAGCTGTGTCATTGAAAGTTACAGCTGTAATTTGGTAGGCATTTTGCAAAGTAGTTACTGGATCTCGCCTGCGTATATCATGAATCTGAAAAACGCACTCCATTAGCTCACGGAAAATAAAGAACAATGAAAAAAAATATATGGATGGATTATTTTTATCTTTCGCCTTTTAAAAGACAAACATAAACATTCCCGAAATACTGACCTCATTTCACATACTTTTTTTTTTCTTTCCTTTTTTGAAGAAATTACTTAATGTTTACAGCAAAACTTACAAGTATAGTACAATCATCAGAACCACTGGCAATAAGCTGTGGTCCTCGTCGTGCAGGATGGCAACTGTTTACAATATCCTTGTGAGATCTAAATTTCCTTATACATGTTCCTGTATCCATATCCCAAATGCGTACTGTCTTATCTGTTGATGCCGTAAACAGGTAACTGAAAAAAAAAGAAAAACACATGATATGAAAAATAGATAAAAGAAGAGGAAACTAGGAAATATAATGAAAATTTTACATAGCTTTCTTGATCGATGATTTCGATAAACGATAAGAAAAAGAAAATAGAAAATAAAACATAATAGATGATTTCAGATATATCTTTTTAAAGCTTTGTTAAAAAATTTTTTTCTTCCTTTTACCTACTTTCAGCATCTTTACAAAAAGATATTTCTCACCTAGCGTCAGTACTAAAATGAAGGTCCATAATTGCTCCTGCATGTCCTTTTAAAGTAGAGAAATTTTCGCATTCTCCATACACGTTCCACAAAACTGAAATCAAAAAATAAAACATGAAAAAAGAAAGGATCAAATTTTCCTAAACCTAAAAGTTCGAAGCATGAATTTTTGTTTTTTAAAATCTAAGAAAAAGAAAATCAGCAATGATTTTATTAAAAGATTCCAATAAGACGATATATCGAAGATATTAATTAAGAAGTCTTTATATTGTTAGTTGGAAATGACACCAAAATAAGCACAAAAATTTAATAAAAAATACAGAAAACTTACAAACAGTCATGTCAAAACCAGCGGATGCTAAACAGCTGCCATCTGGGCTGAACTTAGCCGTATAAATTTCCCCATCGTGTCCGCTAAGTAGCATTATGGGAGCCATTAAATGTGACGTACGTGGGATGGATTGTGGTCGTCCACTAGAAATAACCTCCAGTCGCGGTCTTTTCGGTCCTTAAATCCGCTCAAATTTGTTAGCTTTATAATCACAGCTTTTCTCATTCATATGAAAGGGAAGAGCACACAGCAATAACAATCACTATATCAATTCACATCAAATTCAAAACCATGACATGAAAAACAAATTGAATGAAAGCAAAACTTACCAACAACAGCCAGAGGCATCGTAGGTCTTTTGAATCCATCGTTATTTTGCATAACCTCTGCCATCTTGAAAATCAGATTACTAATTAAAAGTACTTAGCAATTATTTACTGTGAATATTACTTTCCTCAAAAATCTTGTCATAACGAAGACGCCATTATCTGAGCTATTCATTCTTGGAGGTTTCTAAACCTACAGCTGAAAATCGCTTTTCACTCAATTTATTCATTTCGATCTATTGAAATTACTTCAAATCAGAAACCAAAATAAGAAAAAACAATCCTGGATTTTATTATTGTTAGAAGAGATTCTGAATAAAAATTCCTTCTCAGTCCCTCAAAATTAACTTTCCAATGACGAATACACCGTCACTGGTTAAATACTGGAAATATATTTGTTAATTAAAACATTGAAACTTTGTCATTGAGTTATTCATTAAGAACATAAACTTGCAAAAAACAATGCTGCTTTTCTAAAATCGAAACCTTTTATCGACCACAAGCAGTGAACTACAAATAAAACCATGAATAAAATTAAAAATAAGAAAAAAAAAGTACAAAAAAAGTAGAAAAATAGAATTAAACACATATAATGTAATTAGCATACACTATTGCTTCTCTGAGATAGAGAAGTGAGAAAGATTAAAATCAAATATATAATATTATTAAAAATGAAGAAAAAATATTATATTGTCTTTCTGATTTTTGCATTACAAACGAATTAGAAGGCCATGAAACTTCATTCTAATCGCACAAATGATACAATTTCTTATGGATCTATCAGACGGAAAAGGAAATCATATGGATCTTAATGCTTCAGCACGTCAACATTATTATCTAACAAGACTAACAAAATTAGCATCATTGCAATTCCAATTGAGGTCGTACCAACTTAGCTTCCACTTCATTGGTTGAAGCAAATCCTAAAAATAAAAAATTTTCAAAAGTCTGCATATTAAAATCAAGTAGAGCTTCTTTACGCTATATTAGACTAAGATTACTTCTCTTCAGCGTTTCCTCTCCAAAAGCCTTGGTGCATCACTCCCTATACTGTTGGCATTAGTGATATTATTGTAGATCTTCGTGTTTTAGATGACTTATTGGTTCACAACTTTTCTTATTCTATATTAAATATTTCCCTTCTCAAATATCATTCAGTAGTTCCACCTGTTCACTCAAAATATTCATCTTCTACGGATATGAATTTTAATTCGTATGCAAATGGCAATTAAAGAATTCCCTACCTGTACCACCTCTTTGTAATTCAATTATATCATTATTCTTTATTGGTTTTCCATTCAGTGGATCTATCATATCTTTTCTAATTATTTTCTCGACGCAATCCATCGTAACAACACTTTGGCTGCAATAAAGCACTTTCTTTAACATAGATCATTTTAAAAGAACACCGAACAACTATGATATTTCAAGATAAAAGAAAAAAAGAATAATTTACGAAAATCTTCACATGCAAAATTTTCTTCTGCCGATCCAACACGGCAAATTCGTATCTATAAGATATAGCGAAAAAAAATTCTAGCGTTTTAAAATTGTATGAACTGCAACTTTATACAACCAGGCATGTACATTGTACATTAAACAGCTACCGATATTTTGATAATCACCTTGTTTTCAAATATGCGCATCGGGTTGTATTAGTGAGTGCATCATGCGTTACAGGGCACATATACCGCACCTTCCGAGACATCAAACTCTTATTCCCATTATCATCAGGCATTACAGTGAATTTTACCGGCATCAATTCCTTGATTTTTAGAGGTTTGCCAGAGAGAGGACAAAAAACACGCTGCTCCTGGAAAGCAACTTTACATGGCTAGGGTAATCTCTTTCTAACCAACCGCCAAACCTAATATAATCCATATCTTCTTCCGATACTATTTCAATGCATTAAGAACAGTATCATATAGCATACCAAAAATAAAGCATTCATTGCAATCCTGTCTTAGTTTTCTGTATTTTTTCCTTACGATTGCGTGATATCTTCTACAACTAATGAAGTAACTTTGCTCTTTTGTTAATATCCTTTCTCTTACTTGTACTGTAAAATAAAGCTTACCGGCTTTTCAATTTTGACTTCAACAGTCGGATTTAACTGTGGAATCCAAAAACTTGGATATTCTTTTGCCTTTTCGCCCGCTACATTTGAAATATCATCCTCTTTCAATCGTTTAACATTAGATCGATCACTGTCAAGTATTTTGCGTTTGTTAGTCTGAAATTTCTCAAAAAATTTACGAGTACCATATGTAAAAAGGCATTAAACATAATCGAAGCATTCGTAAAACATACTTTAGATCCAGAAGGGGTAGCACCAGCAGAAGTGGTAGGCCAATCGCCGTCTACATCCCGTCTTATTCCTGGATGTGCTGGCGTACCTTCAACCTCTCTGAATTTCTTCAGTTTCAGCTCTTCATCTAGATGTTTTTCCTGTAAATCATAACGCTTATTTTAACCAAGAGAGCTTCAGGTAACACTGTGAAAAGAAAATATACCCTTTCTGCTTCTTCCTCTTCTTTTTTACACTGTTTCTCCCATTCCTTCAATTTTCGCGCATTTTCCTTCTTCTGCTCTAAATAATATTCCAATACGGCTTCCTTATCGAATACATATCCATATGGTGATATTACCGGATCCCTATAAATAGTATGAACATATCCAGATCTATTATTCCATTATGACGAATATAATAATAAGTGATGAACATATCTATTATTATAATAAATGATAAACGATGAATATATCTACGCCCTATGCATCCACGCCTATTTAAATGATTCTACCAAATCGATGAAGAAGATTAAAAATAGAAAAGTTTGTCTCGACAACAGCATATTGAACATGTCAGAATCTAACTGATAAGATCAGTTTGATATTTAGAATATAATAAACATAACTGATTCTACCACAAGTTAGGAAAGTGTGATTGGTGCCTGGGAATGAGATACTTTTGTTTCAGAAGCATCTCACTAAAATCTGGAAGAGTCATATATTAAATAAACAGAAAATTTTTAACGGAAATGGATATAAAATCCCAAATAGGTGGCCCACATCACTTACTCGGGATTTGCGGATAAATGACTTTGTGACAAATGACAATGGAGTATTCCGCAAAATCCAGTAAATCAGGAAATCAAAAATTTCGCCTGTATGTTTTGAAGAAAGGCCTTACCGGCAAGGTTGCAAAGTAATCGAACAGCAATCAAATTCTTTAACTGAATCAGCACCTAATCTTTGATGCAAAGTACCATAACCGGATTCTTTAGCATCTTTTCGTCTTTCCGAATATGAATATACCGCTGATGCCGTAGCATTTTTACCATGGCGAGTCATTCTGTAAGCAAACATACGTTCATATTATGAAAATATTTTATTAAAAAACATTAAATATATGTCTACTATTCAATATGACAACCGAGTATCGAAGTTATCCAATTCCAGACTCCTATATTACCATTCTGAATCCATGATGCCACAACATTCTAAGGGAACTTCTCGATCTATTACATTACATGGAACCTCGTCCCATACTATTATTCACGGACAGGCATAACACATGGTAGTTAGGTGACGATGATACGTACGGTTTGTAACATAACTAGGATTTCAATGAATAAGTGGAAATCTATAATTACCTATGACAATTACAATTTTTATGGTATAATCTGTTCGTAATATCTCTTAACATTTCCTGCAAAGTGGTCATCGGCAAATGATATCATTTGCCAGTTCTTTTACATATTTCATCTAAGTGCGTTATTCGTTGATTTGTTGTATTATTTCGATCGTCTCAATTTCCAATTTCCTTACTTTCGTTCTTTAAGTTATTGCTATAAAGTTCTATACTTCTAAGCTGTTTTGATTCCTCCTTCATAAAATGCCATTTTTAATGCGGTACGTGATGAAATATATTCCTTGGTGATACTGTCGCAGAGATTGTCGAAATTGATTTATTACTTTTGATTTTTTTCTATGCAAATAATATTTTAGATATACATATGTTTATATGATGCCTTTTAAATTAAATAAAGAGTGGGAATTTCGTATATAATGAATAGGTTATGTCGTTTTATGCGTCAAATACTTGCGTTTTTCATATCATATCGTTTTAATTTAATTTAATGGATGAAAATTTCCATAGGTTCAATGACGTCAATAATCAAATTAGAGGCTTTATCAGGTGTGCAAGATGATGGACCATTATGCTACCTTTTACAAGTATGCTATTTAATCAAATCTGAAAGAAAAAACGAATGGGGAAAGTAGTTGTTTCGCTTTTAATACTATCAACACAATATTAATTATAATTACCGAATTTGTTGAGGTATATAAGTTTAGTATACATTTTCATTCTAAATTCTAGATTCTTTGTACTTTCCATTCTAAATTCTTTGCAACATTTTGAGATTACTTTGATGCTCAAAAGCTTTATGTTTTTCCCTTGTTTTTTGTATCCTTGGTGATCGATAGAGGATTTAAAACTGCAATTTTTTATATGCATCAGACTTTTCGTCTATAAAAGACTCAGTAATGTAAATGACCTTCCTATAACACTTCGGTGACAGGAATTATCAAAATCAGTATCAAATAATATTCTATCCATCTACTTGAAATTTAGAACTACATTTCTTTAATATTTTTCTCAAGAATTATTATCATTCATGCTAGCTGATAAATTATTATCTTATTTTTCTTTCTCTTTGTCTTTTTCCCCGATAATTATTAAATATTTTCTTATTTCAGGTTGATCAGGTTTATTTTTTATTAGACTGTGGTTGGGATGAACGATTTGATATGGCATATATAGAGGCTGTCAAGAGACGCGTTCCTCTTATTAACGCCGTATTATTATCATATGCTGATATACCACATCTCGGTGCTTTACCTTATCTTGTCCGAAAATGTGGTCTAAATTGTCCAATTTATGCAACGGTAAGTGTACTTCAGATCATTATTAATTTGCTTTCGGTAACTTCTCTTTAACATTTGGGCATTCGTAGATTAAATTTGGGACCGAAGCGACATCTATTGTTCTCACTTGCACCCACTTATATTTCAAATTTTTTATAATTACATAGAACAAAAACAAAGTTAATACCCTTCGTTATGTCAGTTTCAATATAATTTACTAATGGACCTTAATAGCTTTTTAAAATTATAAATCTAATTTTCTGTTGCAGTATTATTTTACTTATCATGTTCTAAGCCATTGTTAATATTTATAACAGCGAAAATTGTCAATTAGTGATTAGCTGTTATGTCAGTTTCAAAAGATTTTTGAAGTTTGTAGTTGAAAGGAATTGAGTAAAAAAAGGCATACTAAATGTAGTAAACTTTTAATTTTGCATAATTAATAACACATTCTTTTTAAAACTACTTTATTTTATGTGATATTTTGGTAGAAAGTAAGCTCTTACTTTTGCGAATTTGTGATGTAATTCTAAATACTTACTGATATCGCGAACATTATATAATAAAACCTTATTTTTATTCTGTGTTTTTATAATAAGGTTTTTAAATTCTGTTAAAATAATTTGAAACTTGTCAGGTTCCTGTATATAAGATGGGGCAAATGTTTCTGTATGATTGGGTTAATAACCATACTAGTGTCGAAGATTTCAACTTGTTCAATTTGGACGATATTGATGCAGCGTTTGAACGAGTGCAACAAGTGAAATATAGTCAGACGGTTAGTAAAACGATCTATTTGTAATTCTGAGTATTTACTGATATCGCGAACATCATGCAAGTTTTAAGCATAACACTCTCCTGTTTGTGTCGCCGAGATATAATCGCATTTAAAGTACTATTGTATTTATGAGTTCGAATCATTTTTCTCCGTGTTGTCGTTGGTCATTTTTATCACAACATTTTTTTTTTTTTTTTTTTATAGATATAAAAAAATAAGAAAAAAGAGCAGGAAGAATGGTAACTGCTTAATTGTAAGTTGGGTAGGAATAGAAAATATGAGGACTTTTTTTAGATTTTATTGAAAGGCGATAATGGTCTGCAAATAACGCCTTTACCTGCTGGACATATGATTGGCGGTGCAATATGGCGGATCACAAAGATGGGTGATGAAGAAATTGTGTATGCAGTTGATTTTAATCATAGAAAGGAACGGCATTTGAATGGTTGCACATTTGAAGGTATTTGTTAGAAATATTTTGCAGAGTGCTGATTCAAATAACTAGTCAATCATAGGTATTGGAAGACCAAATCTACTGATCACCGATAGTTTCAACGCGCTGTACAATCAACCACGTAGGAAGCAACGGGATGAACAGTTGGTAACTAGACTTCTGGGTACCGTGAGAGATGGTGGTGATGTGATGATTGTAATCGATACGGCAGGAAGAGTATTGGAAATAGCGCATTTGCTTGATCAGTTATGGCATAAGTAAGTTTTTTGAAGTTTCTTTTATAATTCTGGGTATTTCCTAGTTGTCAGATGTTTGAAAGTTTTTAGTGGTTCATACTATAACTTAGTTTTGATTCATTTGCAGTCCTATTTTGCGTCTTTTTTGATGCTATTGTAACCACTGTAAGTAAAAGGAAAAGACTACAGGTTAGATCTTGATGATTCTTCCTAAATTTTAAGCGCGGAGGCTGGTTTGATGACATATAATTTGGTTATGCTAAGCCATGTTGCCTCGTCGGTGGTTGAGTTCGCGAAATCACAAGTGGAGTGGATGTCTGATAAGGTCCTAAAGTCCTTTGAAGTTGGCCGTTACAATCCATTCCAATTTCGACATGTGCAGCTTTGTCACACTCACATAGATTTGATGCGAGTACGAAGTCCAAAGGTTTCCGTTTTTTTTTTTTTCTTTTATTTTGTCTTTTTTCAAACAATCATCTTTATTTAAATTTTTTGATGGTTTATCAGCGTCTATCTAATGTTTTAAAAGCTGATAGTAAAATAAAATGTATGTAAAATATTCTTCTTTGTAGCAAAATATTTTTATCTAAAAACCTTTCGACAAAATCCATCCTTTCTAATTTTTTTTTTTTGCTTTTTGAAATGCTAATTTTTTTACTTTAGGTAGTACTTGTCAGTGGATTGGATATGGAAAGTGGTTTTTCCAGAGAGTTGTTTTTAGAGTGGTGTACAGATATAAAAAATTCTGTTATTGTTACTGGTATGGTTTTTTGATTTTGGGGAAAATAACATAATTTACCCTTCGAAATTGTTGTTCTGATGACTATATTTACGGATTTACTAGAAGATTAAAATCACATTGCGAAGTATCTTCAGCCAGAAAGCGTATGTGATTTGCAGGACGTTCTGGCGATCGCACCCTCGGTGCGCGATTAATACGAATGGCTGAACAAGCAGCAGAAAATCCTAACGGTACCATAAATCGTAATTTAACCTTAGAAGTCAAACGAAGAATCCGTTTAGACGGTGTTGAGTTGGAAAATTATCGAGCCAAAAAGCGAGCGGAAGAACGTGAAGCAACTCGAATTAGGTAATAATTATCAAAAATGTTGCCACATAACTATTACGATGTTACAATCTTCTTATCTTTCAATATCTGCAAAATTACAAACTATAATAAGCGTAAAAATGCTTGAAGATTTATAAATTAGTTAATAATTGCAACGTTTTAGTTATTAAATCCTTTCATCGATCAATCGATAATAATCAGTTAGCATATGTCGGTGTCTTTTGTGCTCATTTGAGGCTTTTGGTTTGATGCTTGCAAAGTTGATTTATCACTGTCATAAACATGCTGCTACCTAATTTTATTACCGGTTATTTTCATTCTAAATTGTACATACTTTTAGCATTTTTTTTTAGATTGGAAGCATCACGACGAAATGCTAGACTGGAACAAGCCGATTCATCTGACGATAGTGATGATGATGCCGTCATGGTTGTTCCTGCTACAACTTCTGGCATACTAAATGGTAAAATGACCAATTCGAAGCGTAATATTGCGTCATCGTTTAGCGCTTCTACGACGACTTCTACAACTGGTTTGAAATTTCATTCTTTTGATAACTTATATGCAATTTAGCTAAGCTATTTCGACATGATTTGTAGATATAAGTAAGAGTTTCATTCATTTATTAGAGTATTTTTGCACAGTTTTCATATGAATTTTATACTTTTTATTGATTACCAATCGCAAATATATCTGGCAATGAAATTACAGGAAAGGGAATTTTATATCGCGAAGTATTAATCAAAAATATAATAATTTGCATTAACTTAGTAGCTCAAATTACAGTATTGTTCACTTAATTCGACGTGCTGATGTTCTGAAAAGATTCATGAATTTTTAGTGAGAAAATTCACTAAGATCAGTTTTAGCAGATCTGTCAGCAGCTCAAATAGCAGAACAGAGATCTCACGATATAATGTGGAAATGGGAACAGCAACAGAAATCATCCTTTTTTAAACAAAGCAAAAAATCATTTCCTATGTTTCCATATATTGAAGAGAAGACTCGGGTCTGTTTTCCATTTAATTTTTCTTAGGAAGATTCTCATCAAGTCAGAATTGTGCATTTCTTTTTTAATTATTATGTTTGATAAGATTTCTGATTTTTACAATTCTAAAAAAGATTTTTGTGATCCATGGTGATATTCGTCTGGGAATTTATATAGTTTGTGAATGGTTCCTACTCTAATAAAATGATTGTTATTCAGTGGGATGACTATGGTGAAATCATACGCCCCGAGGAATACATGATCGTGGATACACCTGTAGTACCACAAATACCACCTGAACATAAGGATGGTACTGACAGTACTTTTGATGGACAAGTGGTACCGCTTTATGAGGAACGGGAATGGCCATCAAAATGTATCAGTCAAATTATGAAAATGGAGGTAAGTCTATTTTGATAATTCATATTTCATTGAGACAGAATCTGAAACTTAGTTTGTTTGTCTTGCAGACTCAGTTTTATTTATTTTCATTTTCGATTAAATTCTGCATAGTATTGTAGTGCTCATCATTTATTACTTTTCTCTGTTTCGTTGTATGATATCAATTAATAGTTGATGACGAATGGTTTATTTGGTCCGTTTGTTTCATTTTCAGGGGTTTTATATATATAATTAATAAAATAATAGATACTAAGATTAAAACTGGCAGTATTCTTTGATTTTTGCGAGTGACCGATAACGCGTAAAACTAAGTGTTTGCAAAAGAGGCGGCATGTTTATTTTTTTTTTTAAAAAAAAAAAAACTACTGAGCCAATGTTTTGGAAAAGAAAAAGTTGTTTCTTGCAGATCAGTATGTAGTAATTCGTTCTGAATTGTTCTCACTTTCGTACCGCATTTCTTCATTTTCCTCATTCCTTTATTGTTAGTTATCTGGAACTAACTATAAATTTAAATAAAGTTATTTTTACACTTTTGCATTGTGATGGTTTGAAAATCCATCAAGTATAACATTCTTCTCTTTTTCAAGGAAGATGTATGGATTTTGCAATTTTAATGTTTTAATGTTGCAGGTGCTTTGCAAAGTGGATTTCATTGATTTCGAAGGACGTAGCGATGGCGAATCGGCGAAAAAAATTCTATCACAAATAAAACCAAAGCAACTAATAATTGTTCATGGTTCATCAGCAGCTACTCGACATCTTGCGCAATATGCTCAGCAAAATGGCATTGTTCAAGTAAGCAATTTATGTTGTTTTGAATTTTTCTTTTTTGGTTGGAAAAAATCTGTCAGTCTTACAAAATTTAAGTGCCATCATTTTTGGCTTTCGAGAAGTGCTTAACTATTAAATGCTGCGTGTCATGCAAAAACGATATGCTAATATGTAGGACACTACCTTCTTAAATTGTTTGTTTAGTGATTTTTTTTCTTTTATTCTGATTTCGAATTATGGTAACTTGATTCGTATATGTTTATGAGCAACTGCTAATTAATAATTCAATATTCATAAAAACTAATTTATTTATTTTTTGTAGGGTAAAATATTCACACCGCGATTGGGCGAAATCGTTGATGCAACGATCGAATCACACATCTATCAAGTAACATTAAGTGATGCCGTTATGTCATCCTTGATCTTCCAAACGGTTAACACTTTAAATTTGTGCATATATTTTGCTGTAAATTGATTGTTTCATTTTGATTTGTGGCTAAGTAATAATCTTTTTCACAATTTTGAAACAGCGATCGGTTTAGTTGGAGATGTAATTTTTTATCTGTTAGAAAGTGAGTGATGAGTTTAGCATGACAATTTTTTATTTAGTAGGAACCTCTAATGTTGCATATACAGGTGAAAGATGCCGAGTTGAGTTGGTTAGATGCTCGAATAGTAAGGAGGAAAACGGTAACACCAGGGCAGACACGAAATACAGCTGAGGAGAATTTAGAAACAAATGGAAATAAGGAAGAGGAAGTAGAAGAAATGGAACAAGATGACAGTGATCAAGTCGAAGGTAAACGGTTGAGCAATTTGAAGGTTGCAGCTGCGGATACATTTTGTCTAGAACCAATGCTTTCTGCTAATATTCCTCCGCATCAGGTTTGTTTCAATTTTTCTTACATTTTTGATTAGACACATAATAAAAATAGGGCAATTGGTTTCTTTTGATCTAAGATTTACTGATTTACGAGGGAAACATTTGGTTTGCCTTAGTTTCACTTGATTTAAGATTTCTTGACTTTTTTTTTTTTGAGGAATATTATACTAAATTTTTCAAAAACTTTAGCACTTATGATTAATTGGACAGTTTATTTCCTAGTCAGTAGCGAGATGAGAAATTGATGGCTATTGAAAACTTTTTTGGGGAGTACATACGTATATGAAATTTTCGGATGGAGCCATGTCATACCGAAAGGTATGATTTATTGAATTAGTAAGATGGATGAAGAAGTGAAATTAAATTTCCATTTTAGGCAGTATTCGTTAATGATCCAAAACTTTCTGATATGAAACAGTTATTAGCTTCGAATGGTTTTCGAGCGGAATTCAGTTCTGGTGTATTATATATAAACAACATTGCAAGCATTCGACGTAATGAAGCCGGCCGCTTTCACGTGGAAGGTTGCGCATGTGAAGATTATTACAAAATAAGAGATATTGTTTATGCACAATTTGCAGTTGTATAGTTTGAAATTGCTCTTAATTGTTGATCTCATGCTGCCTTTTTTGTTGGTCTGAATGGAACAAATAGCTATGAAATTGAGAGGATGAAAAAGTTTCCGTTTAAATTATTAGTGATAAATAAGCATGCTGAAACATAGGGGATTGTTTATAACAGAGCTATGAAAATGTTTTAAACATTGGTAATGAGTTAAAAAATATTACGCGTTGTGTCTTTTTTCTTTTTTTTTTTTTTTTTTTTTTTCAAGTGTAAAGGAGGACAGCCATATTCACTAGAGAGTGTAAATAATAAGAAACGTTGGAAAGGGTTTTAATGGTGTGCTTAAATATAATGTAAAACTGGAAAAAAACAGTACTGATGGATTAAATTAACGAAAAAGAAGATGATTTCATATAAGTTTTTCTTCTTTGTATGGAAGGAGGGTTGTGAAAGTAAATGAAATCTATCGATATCTCAAATAGCAGCAAAATTATGGCATACTGAAGACATTCTGGCATTGAAGTCGAGTGTCAACGAAATTGCTTTTTTTTTCTATCTGCAAAGAGTGGCATGAAAGTATTCAGTTTTCCTCGGCCTGACTGGATAATATGCAAATATTTCTTTCTGATATGCTAATTTTTTTAATTCAATTTATATGTACATGCACATATCGACTGGTAAATTGGAAGTATCAAGCTTGTGATTGTTTGTTAAAATGGTTGCTTTGTTTCATTGTTTTAAAATTTTAATTGTTAGTTTTTTCCAGGTTTTTAAGTAGCACTTAATCTTTATAAATTCTAAAAATTATTGCCAAAGGAAGGATGTAAATGATCTAACTGAGTTAAGTTCAATTTTTTTTTTTTTTTTGCATGAAAAAGATGTAATATTTATTTTTCATACTGTTTTTGTATTCAAAATAAAAGCAAAAATTGGAAGGATTACAGGTTGCTTTTGTGGGTGATATGATAGGATCAACAATTAGTCTGCTATGTTACTCAAGTTTTTTTCAACAACAATACGAAGAATGTGATGATAGTGATTATTGCTTTTTCTTGGAAGATTATCCGATACTCGATCCAACCGATACGCAAAATCATGCACGTAGTTGTGAACGGCGTGGTTACTGTAAAGTAATTAAAATAATTGATTATAGTATAAAATTATTAAACAGAAAGATGAAATACGGCAGGGAAGAAGGGTATAATAATACTGTAAAAAATTTATGCATATATAATAAGTTTTCTTTCTTTTTTTCTTTCTTGCTGTTTACCTTCGATTTAAAACTTCAGTAAGTGTTAGAACAGTTTTTTTTTTTTTAATTTCCAAATTTTTAAAGAAATAAAAATTCAGGTTTTTTATAGATTAAAGATCAAAAAACTACAAAAAAAAATTCTTATTGGGGCTGATTTATTGCTAAATTATATTTAGTTTTTTTTTTTTTTTCTTATTTCTACTTTTTTTTCAAAATAAATTTCAGACACTGGTTGAGAATTTGAATGGTAAAATTTTGACAAAATATGGTTTGACACATAAATGTGGAACTTTTATGGCAAATGAAAAGACATATGCAGATTTATGTTGTTGCAATTATAATTGGTGCAACAGGTTAAAGGTTAATGAATTACCATTAGTAATGGATAGCAAAAAGATGAAAAGAAATAGAGCAAGAAGATGGGAAGAAAGAAATGAAATATGAAATACTTTGTAACTGATGGAATAATTCATGAATTGCAATTAATACATATGGTTGGACCTTTCAAATTTGTGTAATTTCTTTCATATTGAATTTGTTCTTTCTTTTTTTTTTTTTTGTTATTATCCTTGCATTTAATCAATTATTAGATTTACTCTTGAAATTTTATTTCCAGTTTAAAATTATTGCATATTTTTGTTGCTGTAACTATTTTAGAATATAAAGGATTTTTTACATATTTTTTATTAACATGCATATTTTGCACAATTTTAATGCTTATTTTTTACAAACATCTGTCATTACATTATTTTTTTTCTCCCATTCAATTATTCTTTAAATAAATAACATTAAAATTTGTGATAAGCTTTAAATGCTTTTTTAAAATAATTAAGATGGTGTCAAAATTGAATGTTTAAATCAGTTTTGTTTGAAACAAAATTGAAAAAAGAAATGATATTAAGAATTTTTAGCAAATTCAAATAATCTTTTAAAGTATAAAATTTATTAACAAAAACAAAGAGCTATATTCTTCCACTTTTTTTTTTCCTTTCTCTCTGATACACAAAAAGATTTGTGTCGCCTTTTTCTTTCATTCTTTTGCGGAATCTTTCATATAATTTTTAGCCGAACATCAAAGATTGCTAAGAATCAGTTTATTGCGTAATTAACACTCATATATATATATATATATATATATATATGTCCTTGTTGATACATATCAATGTAAGCAGCAGTAGAGATTGACCGTTGTCCACTCCAATTCAAATTCATAGAAAAGGAAAGATTTTTGATCTGTTAGAAAATTTATGTGACGCGGTCATTTGACAATACAACTTGACACATCACAAATCACATCTTTTATCTTATAATATTTACCTATCTATCATTTTACTAATTTTACCGACATGTCATATCACGTATCATTCTATAATACCCACAAATAATTCTTTAATACTTAGGTATAATTTTATAACTTAGACGTATCATTCTATAATACCTATTTATCACTCAGTATAATCTTATCATTAATATAGAATATAGGCAATCAGTATATTATTAAATTACTCTAATTAATCGAATTCTTCTTAAGATAACTTAATTTTTCATTTTTTATTAATTAGATTTTGTCCAATTTTTTGCACTATATATCTGTTTTCTAAATCTGCAATATTTAATGTATTTAATATTTAATGATTTTAAATTTGTATTGATTTCATAAATATCAATGCTTGTTCATTTAATTATTTTTTTTCTTCCTTTTTCCTTTTCTAAATGTAAAAAAATTTAGCTTCATAAACGAAAAAGCTAGGAATAACGTTAAATGATGGAAGAAAGTGTTCATTTCCAAGACTTTGTCATATTTGCAAATTTTAAAACATTACAATTCTTATTTTAAATTCCAATATGTTACACTTCTATAATGTATTAAATTTTTAAAAAAATTTTGTATTTCATCATATGTTTATTTAAAAAAATCAAAATGATTATAATTAAAAGCTGAATTTAAATCTTAGTATTATCATATCATTTGTAAAAAGGCTCTGGAAAAAATTAACATACGAACAAGCATAGACATTTGAATACTATAGAAAAATTCAAAAAAAAAAAAATAAAAAATAAAGAATTTATTATAAATAGGAAGAAAAAATATTACCAATATTAAGTAGCAAATTCAAATGGCATAGAAATATGCAAATGTCACATTCATATTAATGAAAGAATTATGTAGCGCTAAAAGCATATAATTATTTTGCAAATCATAAGCTTAGTGTTATTAATATCTTTCTTACTATCAATTATTAATCTATGAATCTGTGAAGATTTTAAATCAATGAATGAATCAAATTCTTGTCTTTTGTGATTTTTCCTTCTTGATATTCCTTCAATTCTACTTTTAACTATTTTGGAATGATAGGTTATTAAAAAACTAAATTAAACTTTAAAATTGGTCAAATATATTTTATTGCACATATATTATTCCTTCATCAAAGATTTGGTAATGCCAAAATAATATGCATTTAACTATAATTGCGATATTACTAATTATATTGTAATCATTCTTTTTCTCCTTTTCATTTATTTTCTATCTCTCTTGTTCCCAATCCATTATTACAATCTATCAATAAATTGAAAAAATATATGATATTAAATACGATTCCATTAATTATTACAGAACGATAAGTAATTATCTTATTTTATTAAACAAAAAAAAAAAAAGAAAAATAGTAAATTCTCGAAATGCTGCAAAATCGTTATTGAAAGGTATCGTTATCACTTTGTGTTGCACAGATTCCAACATTTTAAACATTCACTGCTAACAAATTCAGCCAGCGAATATTTGTTTCATTGATACATCCAGTGCCACTGATGTTATCACTGTTGTTGTTATCAGCGCTTTCATTGTTATTGTTGTTATATTATAACTTATTTTCATCACTATTATTGCTACTCCGTTTGTTTATATTACTATTACCAATGTTGTTATTGCTATTAATATTAATAGTATTTATTACTATTATTATCATCATTATTATTATTATTATTATTATTATTATTATTATTATTATTATTATTGTTATTATTATTATTATTTGTTATGATTATAATTGCATTATCGGTATTAAAACATTATTACCGTCTATTACAATTGTCAAATTAACATTCCTGGCTTATTTCCATTTTTCTATTTTATTCATTTTTCGTCACATAAATGATGAAATTTTAAGGTCATAATTTTTATGACAAGTATATTGCTTATTGATTTTCCTTCCATTGCTTATTTAAAGAAAAGAAGTATTTAATTTTCATTTATTTCTTTTATAACAAATGTTCGTTTTTCCTTCTTTATTTTGTTTTTCTTTTTTAAATTGTGTTTAAAAACAAATAGGAAATAAATTTAAAAAAAGGGAAAAAAGCAACAACATGTTTGCATTGTGAAAAAGAAAATATATCATCGGTTTGAGTTAAAAAAATTTTTTTTTAAATGTTTTTTCCCACTATTTCTCTCTTCCTTACCCTCCCTCTCTCTTTATCTCCCTCTATTAAATTGTTATTTCCATTTCATTTTTCGTAATTTATAATGAATGAATGAATGAATGATTTGACCGCTAAATCGCTTTTTGACAAATATTTTCAATTTAAAAAAACAATTTCTATAGTCCTTCTATTTATACGTCTACATTTTATTCATTTTCTATTTTTTTTTTTTTTTTTTAGTTAAATTAATTATCAGTGATTGGAGTTATTTTTCATTGAATGATTTCATTTAAAATAGAAATAAAAAGGAAGGAAGAAGGAAAAATCAAAATGGAAAATAAATTTTATAATTGAAAAATATCATATTTGAATGACATGTGAAAAGAAATGAAAAAATTTTTTATATTTCAAAATATTTGAAATAAAAATAAATGATATAGAAATGTGTATAAGAGGAAAAGAGTAAATAACCTTTTTTTTTTTTTTTTTTTTCAGAAAAAAAAATGTGATGAATAGGAGAATAGAAATGAAAAGATAAAATACACACCTGTTTTTTTTACCTTACTTTTTGTTTTCCTCCTCTTCAATATACATCGCTTTTATTCACTCATTCATTCAAGTTAGCAATCGATATAAGCGCTAATTGTTTCTCATAATGGACAATGGATACTTACTTATTTCAAACATTGAATAAAATGAAAAAGTAAAGAGATGAGAGAGAGAGAGAGATAGTGATGCGGGATCTTTTTAATCAAAGAAACAACAAAAACATCAAAGAAGGCAATTTTTCATCATTTTCTTTCTTTCTTATTTATCATCATCACTTTCTTTCAATTTCTTTTCATTCTTTAGTTAGAAAGATAACAAAAAGAAAGAGAAGAAGGAAAAAAAAAATGGAAATATGAATGAATAATTGTTGTTAAATGAATAAGAAGGAAATGATACATAAAAGAGGAAAGTGTATATTTATTCCTTCTTTTTTTCACTTTTTTTTTTTTTGTACATCAAAAAGAGGATGAAATGAGGGATTCTTTTATTGTTTCCGGGCGCAACTATCCTTTTGATGTTGCTTTAATTAGACAAGCTAAACATGCTATGCCATTATTCCTGTTTCATTTTATTTGTCAAAAAATGCGTGAATATATTGTTATTATTAATGCCATTAGTCAATTTTCTATTTGACCTTGAAATGTGAACTGTTGTTGTTGTTGATCGATTTTGATCTCTTCTTTAAATGTTAATTGTTGCTATTATTGTTGATAATGATTGACATAGATTTGAACTATTAATCAGTCTGGTTTTTAATTTTGTATTGTTATTGTTGATGAATTTCAATTTAATTTCAAATATAAATTTTTGTTGTTTCCTTTCCTATTAACAGGAATTACTGAATAATACGTATGCTATTTATTTTTAAATATATATGTCATTTTTTTTTTTTTTTTTTTCATTATTGTGACTTTTTGACATAATCACTAAGTAACTGATTGCTCTTTTTTTACAAATGTTTACTTATATTAAACATAAACCAATAATTTATTTTTTTATTTTTTATTATTCTCTACATTTCTTGTTCTTCTGTGTTGAGATGTGGCAGAAGAGAAAGAAAATGTTTATACATTCGAAATTTCAATTAAATTCAACTTTAACAATTCATTAGCCATTCTTTCCTTTCTTTTTCCATCCTTTCTCTCCTCCTTTCTTTTCTATGAAGATTGTTGTAAATGATAATAATGACAAAAATGTGATAAGTTTTTCCTCTTCTTTTAACAAAGTGCAAAATTGATGTTCTATAGCAGCGCAAATAAGAGAAAAAAGTTCTATTATATTACAGTATTAATGTAATGAAGTATATGTGCCAAAGAATTAAAATATATATGTGTATGAATAATAGAATCAAAAAAAAAAATCGAAAGATCATAATCGATATAATATTTTTTTCTTTCTAAACTGCTTGTTTAACATTTTTTAAAAGTATTTTCAAACAAATTTTACTTTCATTTTTCTTCTTTTCTATTTTCATTTCA